GGGGGTCTCATTGGGGCCTCTTGGGGGCCTCTTGGGGGCCTCTTGGGGCCTCTGGGAGCCTTCTTGGGGCCTCCTGGGGCCCTCTCGGGACGGAAAGGTAGAGTTTTCGAATCGTGGGCTGCCTTTTGGGCCTCTCTTGGGACCGTCTTAGAGCCCTTTTGGGTTGTCTGGGGTGTTGTTTGAACTGTTTTGGGGCTTTCTTCCGCCGTCGTGGGGCCGTCTTGGGGGCCTCTTGGCCCGTCATGGGGGCTTCTAGGGCCGTCGTGGGGCGATCTTGGGAACCTCTTGGTCCGTCTCGGAGCGTCGAAAAGCCGAAAAGGCGAGAAGGCCCAAAACCTGCAGAAACGGTAGGGAAATGGTTGATGTTTGCTTCGTTGGGCCTCTTTGGAGGCCTCGTGGGCCGTCGTGCGAGCATATTGGGCCGTCTTGGGGCCAGCGCGGGACATTTTGGGGCCATATGAAGCCGTTTTGGCCTCCTGAGGCTCTCTTCGGAGCCCCGTCGGGCAATGTTGGAGGCCTCTCGGGCCGTTCTGGCCGCGCGGTGGCGGCACCATGAGAATCCTGGGGTGGCCCGGAGCAGCCTGGATTTGAGGTTCACCCCTCCCCCCGTTGGCTGTTTGGTGACGCGGCGGGGCCCCTCAGCAGACAGTAAGCAGGAGGCAGGACACAGGACTGGAGAGACAAAGGCCAAACAACAAATGACAGCACGTAGCACATGACAGCAGACCGCACACACCTTCGCAGCTTTGCGCCCCCGCAGGAGGCCGGTGGATGTGTGTGTGTGTGTGTGTGTATATACACACATACAAATACATATACATACACATACATACAAGTACAAATACAAATACAGTTATATACAGATACATGTGTATATATACATACATACAAATACAGCTTCATTCGCGTCAAAGCAATGCATCCGTCGATGGCGCAGAGCTCGCGCACCACTCACGCCCGTGATGGAGAGTACAGGCAGGGTGCAGGCCCGGCCTGCCATCGGAGCTTGCCTGCGATAGGGTAGCAACACGTCGGAACACGATCGGAGGAGGAGGAGGAGGAGGAGGAGGAGGAGGAGGAGGAGGAGGAGGAGGAGTCAGGAGTCAGGAGGAGGAGGAGGAGTCAGGAGGAGTCAGGAGGAGGAGGAGTCAGGAGGAGGAGGAGGAGGAGGAGGAGTCAGGAGGAGTCAGGAGGAGTCAGGAGGAGTCAGGAGGAGGAGGAGGAGGAGGAGGAGGAGGAGTCAGGAGGAGGAGGGGGGGACGGAGGAGGAGGAGGAGGAGGAGGAGGAGGAGGAGGAGGAGGGGGAAAGGGGGAAAGGGTAAGGGAGGGGGCAGGCGGAGGAGAGCTTGTTGATGGTCCTGGGGCTGTCTTGGGAGATTGCGTGGCCGCCCTGGGCGTGTCTTCGGCTCTATTCCCCGCACACGGCCCAGCAGCATTGAAAACCATTGGCAGCTAACAGAGGCAGCCAGCATTGGATCCCTCCGCCTGGGCACGCCGTTGGTCCGTCGAGCTCGCGAACGTTCTCGGTTTGTTCGTTGGCCTGTGAGTTGTGCAGTCAAGAAGCTGAGATGAGGACCACGTTGGGCTCAGGAGTGGCTATTGTTTCCGGACCGCTCCCTCGAGCTGGGCGGGCGAACTTGTCCGTGGCCGAGGCTCGCCGTGGCTAGACGAGCCCCTCCGGTCCTCACTCAGCGCCCGCGCGACAGCACGATGACTGCACGTGTGTGCAACGCCTTGGGGAGCTCGCGCGCTGTGACCACACAGTCAAACCGCACGGGAAGGCCGAGTAACTCGGGCGAAGAGAACTATGCACACGCACCGATCCTGGCAAGGCCCATCCTTGACCCAGGATCGGTGTTTATGTCTTTTTGGCCAAGGCAGGAGGGCGTATGCACCGATCCTGGGCTCGGGAGGGGCCTGGCCAGAATCGGTGTATGTGCATAGTTCTCTTTCCTCTGCATCATTCCCCCTCTCGGCCCATCTCTTTCCTCTGCATCCCTCCCCCCTCGGCCCATCCTGCATCCTTCCCCCCTCGGCCCATCCCTCCCCCCTCGGCCCATCCTGGTTCTCTTTCCTCTGCATCCTCCTCTTCCTCATCGCCCTCCTCTTTCCTCCGCGTCCTTTCCTCTGCGTACTCCAGATTTCGTAATAAAATGAAGGGGGTCTGGACCCCCCAAGACAAGCCATTTCAGACCTCCCCCGTGGGAGAACCCTCCAAAACATCGCCCCCAGACCCCCCAGGCCCTCCGAGATAGCCTGGAAGAGACCCCCCCCCGAAATGTGACCCCCCTCCCTTTGTTACGAAATCTGGAGTAATGGTGATGACGAGATGGATCAGGAGGAGGAGGAGGAGGAGGAGGAGGAAGGAGGGGAGTGGATGGTGATGCCGAGATGGACGTTGGATGCTTGTGTCGTGTCTGCGCAAAGGCGCGGGTTTCTGCGGTCTGCGCCGCAGTCGCGCCCGTGCCCGCTCGTGGGCGCCTTCGTGGGCGCGCCGCCCGCCGGGTAGCTCGCCAAGGTTGCTCCGGCATCCCTTCCCCCCTCGGCCCGCCCCGGGCCTCTCCTCGCGCCGGCCGCGCCCCGCCCGCGGAGCGTCGCCGTGGCGCCTCCCAGGGCCCATCGCATCCTGCTCGCGCGCCCCTCTTCAGGGGCGCCCTCCAGGGCGCCCTTGAGGGCGAGGAGGAGAGGAGGAGGAGAGGATGGCGAGGAGGAGAGGAGGAGGAGAGGAGGGCGAGGAGGAGAGGAGGAGGAGAGGAGGAGGAGGAGGAGGAGGAGGAGGAGGAGCGTCCTTCTTCAAGGGCGCCCTCCAGGGCGCGAAGTTCTTCGCGCTTCGCGCTTCGGCTCCGAGTCCTCCTCGTCCTCCTCTTCTCCCCTGGGAGGCGGCGCGAGAGCGCGAGGTTGTTCGCGCTTCGCGCTCTCGCGCAGCGCGAAGCGCGAAGTTGGGAGCCCTTGTTATCACAGTCGGACAGGTATCGGATCGAGGTCTTACCTGCCTCGATACACCCGTTTTATTACGCAACACGTGCCGTGTTCAAAACGTCCGTGTCAACACGTTGCGTGTTGGCTCAGCGTATTGGCCCACGTTTTGGCGAACGTATCGCGTCAGACCTACGTATTCAGTCTACGTGTTGAGCTCCGTATCAATACGCCATGTGTCGCGTGTTGCGTATCGGGGCAGCTAAGATCGAGGTCGATTCGAGGAGGGTGCCCTATTGTTCCTCGTGCTTGTTGGATGTTCTTGTGCACCCTGGGGAGGGGCTACCCTTGGATGTTCTACGCGCTTTGGACGACGGAGGGTCTGGTGTTCTTGAGGGGTGTTCTTCTGGCCTAGGTCCGACTGTAGACGGGCTGCCTGCACTGCCATGTCAGCTGCCTGCGCTCCAAACACCGTGCTTACAGAGGAGGCCATGTTTTAGAAGGCAGATCTGCCTTCAAACAAAAACGTTCTTCCAGAGCAGTTTTTTTCGACAGCAGAGCTGCCTCCAAAAACAACGTTCTCCGAGAGTAGACAATTTGCTTGGAGGCAGATCGATCTACCTTCAAAAAACGGTTCTTACAGAGGTGCCTCGGCCAGGGCGCCCAAGACGTCGGCGCTCCCGCGCCCTCCCATGGACGCCTGCCCCCTGCCGACCAGCCAGCCTTCCCGAGTCGGCCGGTTCCTGAATACGGTCGGACCGAGGTCGGTTTTGGGGAGGGGGCCCCTTATTCTCTTCGTGTGTGTTGGATGCTCTCGTGCATCCTGGAGGAGGGTGCCCTCGGATGTTTTGTGAGTAGAAGAAGGAGGAGGAGGAGGAGGAGGAGGAGGAGGAGGAGGAGGAGGAGGAGGGGGAGGGAGGAGGAGGAGGGAGGAGGAGGAGGAGGAGAGAGAGAAGGAGGGAGAGAGAGAAGGGAGGAGAGAGGAGGAGAGAGGAGGAGGAGGAGGGGAGGGAGGAGGAGCGGGAGGAGGGGAGGGAGGAGGAGGAGAGAGGAGGAGGAGGAGGAGGAGGAGGAGGAGCAGGAGGAGCAGGAGGAGGAGGAGGAGGAGGAGGAGGAAGAGGAGGCGGCGGAGGAGGAGGAGGAGGGTCTCGTGCTCTTGAGGGGTGTTCTTCTGTCCCAGGTCCGACCGTATGAGGACTTGCTGAGAAGCACTGATCTCGTCATTTCCTCCTCCCGCTCCTCAATGTGATGGTCATCGCACCTGGTTGGGACGGCATCCATGCAATATGTTCCGTCATGTTCTAACATGGCGGAACATAGGCAGGTACAGCTCTACATGGGCAGATACGTGCAGGCAAGAGGTCTGAAACATGTGGGAACAGCTTGGCCGTGGAGGCGAACAAGTGCGGCCACGCAATGACTGTGTGTTGTTGTCAACTGGCGTGCGGCGTTTGGTGTGTACTCCTTGTGTGTTGTAAGTTGTGCGTATGCGTTTACATTATTGCGTGCGTGCATGCGTGTTCGTGCACATCTAGTTGAACATGCGCGTGCACGCGCGTGGAGAAGACGTTGTGGATTCCCCAACGTGTGGAGGGGCATTGTGCATCATCTGCTGCGTGCGGTCTCGTCCCTTGACAGAAAGTCGCTCGTGGTCCCGATGGCTTGGGCCCCGCTCTGCGAGCATGGGACGACAGCGGACGGGCTCGACGAGGTATCCACCAGCTCGGGCCGTCTCCCTCCCGCCTCCCGTCCTCCTCGCCCCAATCCCCGCCCTCCCATCCGCTGCTCTCCCCCCCTTCCCCTCTGTATCCCCTGTGCCTCCCGCTCCCCCCCTCTCTCCCTCAAGTGGTATGGCCGAGTATCGTCCCAACGGAACCGCTTCTGAAAATGCATCAATCCTTCCCCCCGCCCTCCTTCCCACCTCCCCTGCGCCACCTCCCTTTATCCCCTTCCCCCCTCGCTCCCTTTCCTCCCCCCTTCTCCCCTGTGTTTGCCGCCCCCCTCCCCCACCCCCTATTCTTCATCCTCCCCCCTTTCCCACTCCACATCCCCCCGATGCCCTCCCACAAGATGAGCATTCCGAGGCTGGCAGACTCTCGAGAGGCGAGTCCTGACGCAGCCGAACGAATTTGGAATCAAGTGTCCCGTCCTGACAATGCAGAAGAAGTGCAACCAGATCAGGTGCCCAGTCGACTGCGGGATGTCGGAGTGGAGCGCCTGGTCGGCGTGCGCGGCGGATTGCGGGGGGGGCGTGCAGGGGAGGACCCGGTCGATCCTTGTCAAGCCGAAGAACGGCGGTCATCAGAGCAGAAATGGAGGAGGAGGAGGAGGAGGAGAGGAAAGGAGGAGGAGGAGGAGGAGGAGGAGGAGGAGGAGGAGGAGGAGGAGAGGAGGAGAGGAGGAGGAGAAGCAAGAGACAATGATACCGCCACCCGTCTCTCGTTTTCGCCGCTTGGGGCCTCTTGGGGGCCCTCGTCGCCACGGCTGGATTCGCCTCGGGATTCTGTGCAGAGCTCACCCCAGGAGAGGTCTGGGGAGACTGGTGGTGTCGGTATACTTTGCTTTTGCCCAGGTCAGGAATGCGACACCGCGATGGAGTCACAGCCATGCAACACGGGCTCTTGCGACAGGGACTGCGTGCTGGCCGAGTGGACGCCCTGGTCGCCGTGCTCGGTCGCGTGCGGCGGGGGCTTCCAGGAGAGAGCCCGGAAGGTCGCGGTTCCGATCCGCGGCATGGGCAAGTGCCCCGTCGAGGACCACGCGGACCGCCTCGAGGAGCAGCCCTGCAACGCCCACGAGTGCATCGGCGACGAGGTCTGCATCGCGAAGCAGGACCTGGTGATCGCCATTGACGGGAGCGGCTCGATGAGGGAGGGCGGCTTCGAGACGCTCCGTGACTTTGCGGCCAACGTCAGCCAGAGGTACAAGCCCATGTACTACGGGGCCGAGGCAATGCGGGTGGGCGTCATCCTGTTCGGGCAGGGCAGCGTGGAGGACGACGGAACCGTCACGCCAGCCGAGATGGTCCAGGAGCTGACTAACGACACGGCAGCTGTCAAGGAGCAGATTGAAAGCTTGGCGTGGCAGCGGGGGACCACGAATCTGGCACAGGCGCTGTCGCTGGCCGACCGGATGTTTCGCGAGGGCGGGCGTCCTGACGCTCAGAGCGCGATCATGATCCTCACAGACGGCAGGCCTTCTCTCAGGTTCGCGTCGGGCCAGGCAGTCCGAAAGCTGAAGGATAAGAACGTGAAGGTCTTCATGGCACCCATAGCAGACAACTCGGGGAAGGACACCGACCTGCTGAAGCAGTGGGCAAGCCAGCCGTGGGAGACCAACTACGAGCGCATCCCAGGCCTGGCGGCCCTGAAGCCGAACTTCGACATGTTCGGGCAGAGGCTCGTCGCGAAGTTCTGCCCGAGCTCGTTCTCGCCCTCGCGGCAGAAGCAGAAGGAGGAGGCGAGAGGGCCTGCGCCTCAGAGCAGCTGCGCCGCTGGCTCCCTCCTCTCGTCACGTGACGCACTTGGGGCCCACAGCTTGGACATCGCCGGCCGCCACTTCCTTCCCTGTCTTCTCCACTTCCATGTCCAACCCCTGCCCTACCCCACCCTTCCCCACCCACCCTGATTTCTGCATCCAGCGTTCTGTGCTTCGCGCTCGTCCCCCCGCCCGCCCTGACCCACCCCCTGCCCCTCTCCCGCCCTGCCCTACAAGCGCCCCTCGCAACCCATCTTGCACATCTCCACCTCGCTGTTTTTTACGTCGCCTCGTGTTCTGTCCCCTGCCTATTCATTCCCAGTCTGCTTTTTCGTGTCCGATATCCACCCGTCACCTCTCTGCTATTTGTTAGTGGCCACTTTATCTTCAGTATGCGCCCCTTGTCTCTCCTTCCGTTCTCCCTCCCGGCAGGCCCCCTTTCCCACCCCGTCCACACCTCGCCCCTCGCCACTTCTCGCCCTGTCATAGTTCCCCCCCCTCCCTGGACTGCTCTTCTTCCGCTCTTTTGCGGCATCGTGCGTGGGCGTTGCATGGCAAGGGGCAGCAGCGATAACTTTTGATGGGGCGAGGTTGCGAATTGTTGCAGCGTTATGGAGCGGGTTGCTAGATGCAGTAGGCCAAACGACAGGCACTAGTGGCGAGTATTCGGGAGCGGGCAGATACCATCCGTACGCCGCACGCTCTTGAGGAGGTCACGTTTCGTTACCTCGTGCGCGAAGGCTCCGTCCCTTTCCCTCCACCACACCCTTCTAATCCACTCCGCACGGCCCCATCCCACCGACCCTCCTCCCTCCCATTTCCCTGTTGTAGGTTCGTCCCGAAACGCCCCGAATGCCCCGAGCGGCCACCACAGCGAGGAGGACGAAAACACACACACACACACACTGTTTGATTCGCGGGTCGAGAGCGCACCTCTTCCAGTCGAAGCTAAGCGGGCCGCGCGAAGCTTGAATCAACCAGATATGGGGGAGGAAAAGGGGGGCGCAGCCACAGAACGTGGCCGGGAGGAGGCAAAGCCTCGGGATCAGGCGGTGCCGTAGTCGACGTACTTTCAAAGGGGTGCCTTTTCCATGAACCCGGTGGCGGAGTACCGGTTGAAGCAAAATGTTGTGGTTGGTGCTGCCGTCAACGGCACATCATTTACACCAGCCTCGAGTTGGCGGCGAGAGGTGACGCGCCTTGCAACCAAGCTGCGTCAGGGATCAGACGCGCCTCCCAACCAACCACACACACACCCACACACACACCCACACCCACACCCACACCCACACCCATCGTTACTTTTTATGACTAAACACGCCAAAACCCCACCTAGCCGGCCGATAGCAACCCCGCCGTCCTAATTGTTAAAAAACAAACTCACACTTTTTCTCGCCAAGATGTCGTCGAGTTGCGAAAAGTGTGGCAGAAATCTGACGGAATGAACATCGCTTGGGTAACCCTAAGCGGGCGGTCGCGTCCGACCTATCAACAACAATATACAGCCAACGTTTTTTTTCGACAACATGGACTTTCTTGTCGTCGACGCTGCGAAAAGTGTACCAGTAATGGGACGGAGTGAACATCGCTTGGGTAACCCTATGGGGGTGGTCGCGTCTTAAGTATCAAAAACAATACAAGCCTACGTTTTTCTCGACAACATGGATATTTCTTGTCGTCGGCGCTGCGGAAAGTCTAGCAAGAATGGGACGGAGTGAACATCGCTTGGGTAACCATGAGCGGGTGGTAGCCTCCGACTTTTCGGAACAAACAATACGAAGCCAGCGTTTTTCTTGTCAACACGGACTTTCCTGTCGTCAGCGCTGCGAAAAGTGTAGCAGGAATGGGACGCGGCGCGCATCGCGCGCGGACGCCTGGCCAACCATACGCGGGAGCCCCCGTCGTACTTGCCCCAAAAAAACCCAACGTCGACGTTCTTCTTGACAACATGTACTTTCTTTTCGTCGGCGCTGCGAAAAGTGTAGCACGAATGGGACGCCCCGCGAATTCCCAAGAGGCATTCCCCTCTTCCTCCTCAGTTTCTCCCTCCCTCCCTCTCTCCCTCCCCTCCTCCTCCTCCTCCTCCTCCTCCTCCTCCTCCTCCTCCTCCTCCTCCTCCCCCTCCTCCTCCTCCTCCCCCTCCCATAATGCACGGCAGGAGCGAAACGATCGGCGGAGAAACATGCGTGGCTGGAATGAGACGCGGCGCGCTTCGCGCGCCGGACATGTTGACGCCGACGATGCAACGTGGGAGGCCGGAGCGGGGCGCGGCGTACATCGCGCGCGGTCTTGTTCCTCGTCGACGTTGCTCATTACGCGGCAGGAGCAAGGAGCAGGACGCAGCTCATGTCGCGCGCTGAACGTCTAGCCGCCCACGATATCAGATGAGCGACAGGCGTCGGACGCGACGCGCTTGCTTCGTATGTTGCGGGAGGGCTGGTGGGAGTGGACGGACCCTTTGGGTTCGCTCGGCCTGTCCAATTACTTGACCCCCTCCCCCACCCCCACCTCCAAGCACCCCCGCATCCCCACCTAGGCGGCCGATTGCAACCCCGCCGCCCTAATTGTCAAAAAACACAAATTCAATCTTTTTCTCGCCAACATGTCGTCGAGGTGCGAAATGTTTAGGAGGAGCGGGCCGGAATGAACATCGCTTGGGTGGCCGGAAGCGGGTGGTCGCGTCTTACCCATCAAAAACAATACTAACTCAACGTTTTTCTCGTCAACATGGTTCTTCTTGTCGTCGACGCTGCGAAAAATGCAATACGAATGGGACGCGGCGCACATCGCGCGCGGACGCCTGGCCAACCCTACGCTGGACCCCCCGTCCTACCTGTCAAAATCACAGCGACGCCGACGTTTTCTCACCAGCAAGTATTTTCTCTTCGTCGGCGCTGCGAATCGCGTAGCGGGAATGGGGCGCCCCGGGAATTCCCAAGAGGCATTCCCCTCTTCCTCCTCAGTTTCTCCCTCCCTCCCTTTCTCCCTCCCCTCCTCCTCCTCCTGCTCCTCCTCGTCCTCCTCTTCCCCCTTCTTCCACGCGCGGCAGGAGCGAAGCGATTGGCGATGCAACGCGTGGCTGGAATGAGACGCGGCGCTCTTCGCGCGCTGAACATGTTGTCGCTGGCGATGCAACATGAGAGGCCGGAGCGGGGCGCGGCGTACATCGCACGCGGTTTTGTCTCTCGTCGACGTTGTTCAACCCGCGGCAGGAATAGGGCAGCTCATGTCGCGCGCTGAACGTTTAGCCGCCCACGATATCAGATGAGCGACAGGCGTCGGACGCGACGCACTTGCTTCGTATGTTGCGGGAAGGCGGGCGGGAATGGACGGAACCGTCTGGCTCGTTCGAGCTGGCTAACTACTTGATCCCCACCCCCACCCCCACCCCCATCCTTACTTCCTGCGAAGAGGCACCCCCGCATCCCCACCTAGCTGGCCGATAGCAGCCCCGCCGTCCTAATTATCACCAAAACAGCACAAACTCTATTTTGTCTCCCCAACATGTCGTCGACTTGCGAAATGTGTAGCAGGAGTGGGACGGAATGGACATCGTTTGGGCGGCCCTAAGCGGGTGGTCGCGTCCTGCCCATCAAAAAACACTGCTAATTCAACGTTTTTTTCGTCAACATGGTTTTTCTTATAGTCGACGCTGGGAAAAGTGTAGCAGGAATGGGACGCGGCGCAAATCGCGCGCGGACGCCTGGCCAACCCTACGCGGGACCCACCGTTCGTTTTTTTTTTTTGTTCTCAAAAACACAGCAAAAGGCTATATTGGTTTGCCAACATGTACTTTCTCTTCGTCGGCGCTGCAGATCGCGTAGCGGGAATGGGACGCCCCGCGAATTCCCAACAGGCAGTTTCCCATTCCTCACCAGTTTCTCCCTCCCTCTCTCCCTCGCCTCCTCCTCCTCCTCCTCCTCCTCCTCCTCTTCCTCCTCCTCTTCCTCCCCTTCCTCTTCCTCCCCCTCCACGCGCGGCAGGAGCGAAGCGATTGGCGGTGCAACGCGCGTGGCTGGAATGAGACGCGGCGCACTTCGCGCGCTGGACATGTTGTCGCTGACGATGCAACATGAGAGGCCGGAGCGGGGCGCGGCGTACATCGCGCGCGGTCGTGTTTCCCGCTAGCGTTGCTCAGCACGCGGCAGGAATATGACGCAGTTCATGTCGCGCGCTGATCGTCTAGCCGCCCACGATAGAAGATGAGCGACAGGCGTCGGACGCGACGCACTTGCTTCTTATGTTGTGGGAGGGCGGGTGGGTGTGGACGGAGCCCTTTGGCTCGTTCGAGCTAGGTGGCTAACTTAACCCCCACCCCCAGTCTTGACTTTCTATGACTAAACACCCCCAAACCCCCACCTAGCCGGCCGATGGCAACCCTGCCGTCCTATATGTGGAACAATATTCAATTTTTCTTCGCCGACATGTCGTCGAGTTGCGAACAGTTCTAGCAGGAATGAGACGGCATGAACATCGCTTGGGCGGCCCTAAGCGGGTGGTCGCAGCCCACCTATCAAAGAACAAAACAAAGTCAACGTTTTTCTCGTCAGCATGGTTTTTATTGTCGTCGACGCTGCGAAAAGTGTAGTAGGAATCGGACGCGGCGCACATCGCGCGCGGACGCTAGGCCAACCCTACGCGGGACCCCCCGTCCTACCTGCCAAAAAACAACAACGCCGACGATTTTCTTGTCAGCAAATACTTTCTCCTCGTCGGCGCTGCGAATCGCGCAGCGGGAATGGGACGCCCCACGAATTCCCAAGAGGCATTCTCTCTTCCTCAGTTTCTCCGTCCCTCCCTCTCTCCCTCCCCTCCTCCTCCTCCTCATCCTCCTCCTCCTCCTCCTCCTCCTCCTCCTCCTCCTCCTCCTCCTCCTCCTCCTCCTCCTCCTCCTCCCCCCCTCCTCCATGCGCTGGAGGAGCGGAACGGTTGGCGGTGCAACACGCGTGGCTGGAATGAGACGCGGCGCACTTCGCGCGCTGGACATGTT